GATCCACTTGCAAGTGTAGTGGTCGCCGTGTTTGTGTTACCCCTGTCAAATGTTCCACTTCCCCCCTTTGGCCGACCGGCCATTTTGGCCAACTTTCAACGCGACGCCATGTTGGTACATTTTCATAGACGATTGGACACCGTCTAAACAAATGGAACGTCAGTGGTGTGTGTGAGTGTGGGATGTGTGTGGGTGTCTGAGCGCTAAACAAATACGGAAAGCGCAAACATAAAGAAAGGACATTCAGACAAGCTGACAAAGCAAATTTCGAGTCTACACAAACGAATACTTAGCATAATTTGGCCAATAATTAGAGCTGAAAAAGAAGGGATGGAACTATTTATGTTATAGATTTCAATGCTGATTTCCATGATTCTATGATTCGTTGTTGAAATGAACCAATTTTAAAAATAAAATCAAAATCCGAATATATTTAGACCTTCCTTTATTGTGCCTGCTTTTCAGAGAGCAGTCGAAATTGTTTGCTACAATGATTTCACATAATTTTCATTTCAGATTTCAACAAACGCAGAGACACACACAAGCATTCACGGTAAGTTCTTTTTGTCATTTGGAATATTCATTCGAGTTTGATTGCAATTTGGCAATATCAATATGCATTCCCATAAATCACTTTCAAGTTGAGCCCCTTTGTTCGCCCCTATTTTTCCCATTTATGAATATCCTTTGTGTGCGTTTACTTGTGGGTACGGGTGTGTTGATGAATGTTCTGCCAGCTTAGCTTGTAGTTTCAATTGATTTTACAAATTGCAAACTAGTTTAGCAAACAACAAGCCAATGTCGAGCGAAATATGTCACACAAAGAGATTTTATAATCATTGTTCTCATTTCCTTTTCGTATACAAATTACGATTTTAGTTGACGAAGAAAAGATTAAGAATGTTTGTTTATTAGTCTACATGAGATGATCAGAACAAAAAAACCAATTTTCTCATACAATTGATTGATTGGGAGATTAACTTAAGAATTCCTGTTGATATAGGGTATATCCTACATTCTTGTGTGCTATCGAAATTAAGTTGCAAGTGATTTCCTTTTTAAGTGAAAAGCACTTAACCAACTTAAGCCGTGAGCAAAGATTAGAAATGTTTGCTAATTAGCCAACTTGAGATGAGTGTGCCCGAGTAGATATTTATGCAGGCTGCGGAAAAAAGTACAACTCTTTGTGATGCAAATCGCACGCAAATGATGCCCGAGAAAAATATGAAATGAAGTCATCCCTGCTCCATTACTTTGAGCAGTGCGGATCCCAATTGGGGACTCCGGACAAAAAGGGGTTATGCAAAGTCAAGCAACCTGAAAAAGACACATTTGTGATGCAAATTCGTTGCTGCCTGCTCTTCGCCATGGCGACGTGTAAATCAGGCTAAGTACGTGGTCTTTTGGTCTTTTACCTGCCATTTCTGGCTGGCTTTTTCGTGCCCTCATTCCCCCCTCAAAAAAAAAAAAAAAAGAAGAAAATATGCAACAATTTTTGCCCGCTCAACGCTGTTTGCCGAACTTTTGCTACGGATTTACTCCCCCGCCCTCCTATATTTTTAATATATGGCAGCGACTGAAAAGGAGGCGTGGCCGTTGCGCCCCCGGAGTGGCGCTCTCTCAAAGCTTGTTTGCACGGCCCAAACATTTGCCGTGCGAATCGTTTTGCTTGCTATGAAATAATTACATATGCATGACAGCCCAGCCAAAGTGTGGGCGTTTTCAATCGCTCGCAATATGTGCACACACTCTGTTCACGGCTATATACTCCTATATGGTATATCTGCATGGAAGTCAGGTTCATGCCGCCGATGTGGGTGCCACTGGAAATTACGCATACGCTGTGTGGGCAGGTTGCCCTTTTTTTCCGCCCTACTCGCCACTGACATCGAGCAATTGTTGTTTTAAATTAATTAATTTCGTTTTCATTAGCAACAGTAGCGTCCGAAAGGCTTTTGTTTTTTAATAGTATGCTGTTATTTGCCATTATTTGTGCGCTATTTGCCAATTTGCGCGAGATTCGATTCATCGAATGCAATTTTCGCACCACTAATTATTATTTAAATTTAAATTTTGATACGCTGCCGCCGCCATGGTGTTACAGCTCCCGAACAAATGGGATTATTTAAATAAATAAATTCATGGTAAAAATCAAGAAGTTAGCTTTGGCGCGTATGTCGCATGAAAAAGTGTCGCAGGTTTTACACCGACTGACGACCAACAGGATTTTACAATTCCAAATACAAAATAATTGCTCAGGCAAACAAAAAAGAAGTAAATAGTAAATTTAAATCAAATATTGTTTACAGATCTTGGATAAAAAGGAAGGGAATTTACAGCTTTTGTGCATCTCTTTTTTAATCCTTTATTTAGGAACTATTGCCAGTAAAGTCTTTGAAAAGTTGGGCAGATTTATAGTTCGAGCAATTCCCCAATCATAAAGGCTTTCCTTCCGCCTCGGCAATTGCAATTATTTTTTATCTGTATGGTCTGGCTGGGGCTTGTTTATAAACCCATTTCTGCGTTGTAATCCGCCTATTTGGCAAGCGAGTGCATGCGTGCTTACTAAGCGAATTGCCACGCCCCCCGCTCGCGCCCTTGCCTCCCCGCTCAGTACTGCATATATGGCAGCGCAATGGGCCGGATCGAGCATTACAATGTAATTACAGCAAATGCAACTTTGTCTGGGACCGGGGAAAATTTATGTAAAAGCCAGAGTTGCGGGTACTCTCGCTGGCTTGCTGTGTAGGCGAAAATGCCGAGCTCCGCTGCTCCTCCGCGTTTTTGGCATCGACACTGTCTGTTTTAAAAGGCGGCCAGCAACAAAGTGAAATTTTAATGCAAACTAATGCAAAATCTTTCGATATGAAACACGGAAACGCAACGCAACGGCGACGGCGATGGCGATGGCGACGGAAACAACAGCAACATCAACAAAATAAATTGAAAAGCAAAATGCAAAGTGAGAGCGGGTCGCAGGGCGCAGAACGCAGGACGCAGGGTGCGGCATCCTGGCTGGATCGTCCTCGGCGCAGCAAGACAAATGAGTCTGCATCAATCTTAATTAATTATTTAAACGCAGCGGGCATGGAAATGGCGTCGTCGCCCAGAATTAAAGCAGCAACGATGAAGCTCCAAGCTGACAACTACACCGACAAAAAAGACATTCAATATTTATAGTTGCTAATTAGTTTTTAATAGGATCGTTGGAGAACTATTCTTTTGGAATATAATAAACTACAACCTGTTTTAAAAAAGGTTTATATTTTTCTAATTTCAATGCAACACTAACTAATTTAATTTAAGCCAAAATTTATCTTTGATTTTTATTCATACATTTGTATTTTTGTTTCATAAACAAAATCTTTCTCGGTAGGAAAAAAGGTTTATATTTTTCTTATTTCAATGAAGCAATATCTAATATAATTTAAGCGACAACTTATTTTTTGTTATTATTTATAAATTAGTAAAGAAAAATCTTTCTCGGTGGAAAAGCAGGAAATATTGGAAGTAAGACTGGGGTCGAGCCCAAACTACTGAGCACTGGCGTTTCCTTTTCGGCTCCGACTTCGCCTCTTGGCTTTTGTCTTGCGCGTAATTAAAACGAAAGCCTTTTGATATTTAAATTATTTTTCATAAATTGCATTGCAGCCGGCGCAATGGCAGGGGGAAAAAGAAAGCGGCGTGGAGTGAGCCACCGACTCCTACGCCACGGGCCATGTGGCTAGGAATTCAATTGGTAGTTCTTTCCACACACTCCCGATGAAAGCGGAGTACTCGTAGTATAGCTCATTACTGGGCATGCCACTCACTCGGCTGCCACTTGATGGTGGCTGCCTTATTTTAATGCAAAAGTCAAGAGCCGCGACTGGCATTAGGTTAATTTGCTGCGGCTTGTGTTTAAATTAACCCACGCTGCACTCGAGGCAAATAGCCCGGCTCAAAGGTGGGCTCAAACCGGCCGCAGGGGCTTACACATGGGAAAACCACAGGCAACTGCTGCCAATCAGTGTCGTCAACATCGTTCTACTCCTGTTCTACTCTCAGTCACTCGAAGTCACTCAGGCTCCTGACCGCAGCCGAGGCGAACTGCCATAAAAACCAAGTTTCTGTAACCAAAGTCACTGAGCAGCACCACCCACTGACCCACGCCCGCACCACTTTGGCCTTCGGTTCGTGTCTTGTAATTATGATTAATCTCATTTAAATTAAATGGCTTAATTGTGTGGAGTGGCGCTCTTCTTGTCATTAAATGATTTTTATCAGAGATAATTTACTGGGAGCTGAGGCACCTGCTGTCCACAATTCTATTGCACTACTCCAGTCGAATAGTATTTAATAATACACTTGCACATAAAACTCGTTTTATTCATTCCAAAAGTATTGTATAAATAAATAATAATAATTAAATAAAAACTTTTTCAGGTATGCCACTTCGAAATCTGATAAAGATTAGAAAAGAAAGAATTTTGTTCGAATTTCACCAAACCCATTTTTTTTTTGGAAATCTGGAAAGGTGTTGTATCATTAAAATTGAAAAAAATCGGCCAAAAAATAAAAAAAAATTTATGATGCAGGTTGATAAAGAATTTAAATACAGAGGTATGCCACTTCAAGATTTAAATACAATTAGAAAAGTTATGGACTTATAACTAGTGAAATTAAGTACATTTTCACCAAACCCATTTTTTGGGAATTTGAAAAGGGGTTACATCGTAAAAAATGAAAAATAAGTCGTTCAAAAAATAAAAAAAATTCTAATGATAAAGTTTGTTAGAGAATTAAAATACAAACTTTTAGAGGTATGCCCCTTAAAAATCAGATTAAAATTGGAAGAGTTATGGACTTCGAGTTATAGAATTTTGTTCAATTTTCAGCAAACCCTTTTTTTTTGGAATTTTTGTTCAATTAGAACAAAAATGTATACAACGACTATATTGTTTAATCATGGATTTTTATTTGTACTATTTTTTTGTATGTATTTGTATTTGATTGATTGTTTACCACAGCTGGAAAGGATTTTGGCGCTGCTTGCATTTAAAAGCAGCGTCGAATCTGGCGTTACCCATTAAGCTTATCGCCAAACGGACTTGCAAATCGTCGTGAACTTCGTACTTGAATCTAAGGCCATCAGTGCAGAATCGCTGCGCCATATTGAGAAAGAAGACCTTTTCATGAGAAAGGCGAGTGAAGCGAATGCGGCTTCTGGATTTTGCAAAGTACGCCGAGTAGGCCAGATCAACAGCCCCCACATCCGCAATGCGTTCGCCCACCGTGGGGGAAAAAATTCGTAAGCCCAAGCGATCCACTGCGCTCTGAAATCCAGGCGAATAAGCTATTTGCAAACCCAATTCGTTCGCGTTTCCGTTGTCGTCGAAGGTAACTCCTTGTGTGTCAACGGAGTGCATGAGCTCGTGACCGAGTAGAACTCCCATCAAGCTGAACTTGAAAACATCGTGGCTGTCCGGCAGGAAGAACGGTTCCTGCAGATATTCGTAGGGTACCATGATGATTTGTTCGGCGTAGAGTGGTGCAAAACTTTCGGGTAAATAGGATAGGATATCATATTTCTTATAGCTTTCCTTAGCTGCCATCCCCTTACGGGTTCGAAACTCAAGCAGCTTGAGATGATCTCGAGCGAAGTCCAGATCCGTCCAAGGAATATCCAAATCATCGTAGTGCTCGTCGGCAAATCTCCTGTGATCCATGCCCTCCGGCATGTTGCCTAGGTTGAGGACCACACTCTGAACCTTCCGGTAGATCATGTCCTTCTGCTCGGCGGTCAGGTTCAAGCGATTGCGCTCGATTTTCAGAAGCAACTGCTGGCGAATCTCCTCGAAGATCTTCTTAATTTGCCGCGTGTAGAGTGAGAGGTTCGGCAGGAAGCGCTTCTCAAAGAGCAGATTCGATGCCAAGTACATGTTGCTCCGCACAGCGATTGCGCATTCGAGGGGATCATCGCTGCCCGGGGTTTCCCATTGCAGGTGCAGAATGAACCGAATCATCATGTAGTGGGCCAGCAGCTCGGTGTCAGTGGAATCTATTAGCTTCTTGAGGGCTGTCAAGTAGGTCAAGTCAGCGGGTGCCACACGGAAGTTGGCCTGAATGCGGTGGCCAACTATTTTCCCGATGAACTCCTGCCACTTGTATCCCGTTCTGCGCTCCATCTGATCTACAGTCATTATGCCAGCTTTTGGATAGACCCACGGTACGGTTAGGTTATTAACATCCCATTCCAACTTCCTTATTCTCCGGAGGAGATTATCGATCCCTTCCGATGGCATTCGCAGGGCACGAAGAGCTCTAGTCGCTTTCTTGTAATTTATCTGGACGGTTTTGGGCTTGCGCAGTCTAAAAATGCGCTCCGTACTGATTAGGGAATTGGCCCCGAACTGTACATTGATCAGAAGGCTGTCGAGGCCATACTTGTGCAACTCGGCCACGGTGTCCATCCAATTGAACTGATCTGCGGGCCAGAGAGTGCCAGGGTTGGCCAGCAATGGCCAGGGGAGTCCCTCTGCCGGAGGAGCCAGTCGCAGGAAGTGCTTTATTTCTCGCGTTTCTGGCGGGGATTCGCGGCAGCTGCGGTAGTATCGCAGTACCTTCGCCTCCACACTCGACTGGTCGAAGTTCGAGGTTTGCGAGCTCTGCTGCAGCTCCTCCATTACTTGCATGAGTTTCGTGTGCATCTGGTGGACAAGCATCTCATGCAAGTTGTGGTAGGATCCATTGGCATGGTGGCTCGCATAGGTGCCACACGCAGCTAGGTAGAAGTTGTCGCAGAAGTCGAAACTTGTTAACCAATTGTCAACTATATGGTACATTAGCCGGGTGTTGGTTTCGGACCTAAAACCCCGAGACTGAGAAGCAGGCACAGCGAAAACGAGCAACAGTCCGATAATCCACATCTTCGCTGGCCCAAAATGAAACTGAGAACAATTTCTGGCGCTGAATTGAATTTAAAGCGTAGGTTATACCAACCACTGTACAATCTATCAGAGAGAGCTTTAAATTCAACTGATAAGGTAGACTTCCCCGAATCTCTGTTTTTGGGAAGATTTATTGTAATCAGTACCACGAACTGTGAGTATTTGCAATGATTTCTAGAAATCGGTACAGATAACTCAGATCTGTGCTTTCATTAAAAACTTGTGCAGAGTACACTGAAAAAATTAAGCAACTTTTTGGAGAAACAAGTTATTATTATCACTATAATATTGTCTCAAATGAGAGCCATATGAATTTATGTTTTATCTGCTCTAAAAAAATAGATCCTAAACATCAACAGCTTTAAACAATTTAAAATCAATATAGTATTATTTCCATTATACAAATTGTTTTCATAATCTGAAGATTTAATTTCTGAAATATATAATTGCTGTTCAGGTGGCTCAGTGTATTTTTTGGCAGCAAATGAGTTCGCTTGCCAGTGAATGACATTTATAGAGATTAAATTCTTGCTTTCAGCGCCTAATCCGTTTTATCAGTGGAAACTAGGCGGCGTGAGGGAGAGGGAGGGAAAGAGAGAGGGTGAGGGAGAGGGAGAGAGGACTGTAAGGGTCAGGTTTTGGTTTTGGTTACTGGTCGACGGTTTCGTTCACCCGGGACCGTGCGGTTGGAGCCGGATCCGGCAGCCGCCGTTGTTATTGCAACGGATAAAGCCGCGTGGAGTGAACGGCGGCACGATTGGGTCGGATTTTAAGTATTTTCCACTAAAAAGCGGTAATTGTCTGGAGCCGTTGCTTTAGTCGGATGCAATGAAGCCATTAGCTGGGCAAATATTATTTTACTCAATTAAAATGCACAAATTCAGCTGCATGTCACGTAGCCGCCGTGTTTGCCCTTTACCTTTGCCCAGCATCGGTTGCAAATTTTTGGCTCTGTCGCGAGACAATATCAATATCTGCTTGTTGTGTTAATAAAGCCATTTGCCCATGCATATATACACACATATAGTATGCGTATTAAATGTGTCATGGTGCAAGGCTTTACTTTTTTTTCCCCATTTCACAACGTTGTTCTTTATTTAATGACAATCGCTTTGTTCGCGGCCCGGAAAAACCATATTCGCCATCAAGCGGATGCGCAAAAAGTCCCCATAGAGCACACCACGGAGTGCAAAAATTCAAATAAATTTTGTCAATCGCATATTGATGGTTAATTACATTTTCAGATTTATATAATAAAACTATTAAAGACCGAAAAACAAAGAAGCAATTTAATCTGCAGGTGCTCGACTTGATGAAGGCTTTTTATGTTTGCCACTAAAGGATTATCTGGTGAAATAAGAGTAAAGATAAATACATCAGAAAAATTTGTCTGCTACTATTTTATATGTTATATGTTGAAATAAAACTAGTTTATTTGGTTGCGTACTAACTACTTGATAAATAAATTTAGTTTGGTGTGTTTAAGTTTTAAAGAGCATTTTTTGGGCTGAATTTTTTTCGGCATAGCTTACATTGTAACTTATTAAATTACCTCTCAGCAAACGGCGTTACACATTTTGTGGCCACAGTCTAGTCCAGGATTCCAGCTGTGATTCAGTATAAGAGTTTTTGGCAGCAATATCTCCATTATGATTACCTACTCTGTGGAATTATCGTTGGCCGGTCTAGACGCTGCCCGATTGTTGTTGATGATGTTGGGCTAAGCTGGTCAATGTGGACACTCTCAGAAATTTATGGCGCGACGCAAATCTGCACAATGCAACCGCACCGCAATCCTCAGGGTCCGCAGACCGGGCCAAAGTGGATAATACGAATATGTGGATATTTTTGGTCACGTTTGAATTTATTTGATTGCTGGCACTTTCAGCATTGTTGGAGCTGACGTTTTATTTAATGCCCTGCCAGCAACAGCCATGGCAAAAAAGGCGGCATGGCGAAAATCCTGCTGGCCAGCCAGTCCAAGGAAATTGCTCAGGAAACGTACAATTTATTTCAGTTCATTTCTTTTCGCCGACATTTGGTCTGTGGAAAAGTGGGAGTGGGTGTGGGTATGGGTATGGGTGTGGGTGTGGGTGTGGCACCCACCTACTATTGATGTTGATGTTGCCTACTTTCGATTTTGGCATGTCGCGCCGCTCACGTTCGGCAAATGTCCTTGTTTTTGTCTCTGTGTTTGTGCCCGTGTCTCTGTCTGTGCGGACTTTGTTTGTCCCGCTCGTCATTTGGCGGTCGTCGTCCTCAACCCGCGTCTGGCGGCATAATTTGAGCAGTTGAAGTTGCCAAGTTATCAGCCAGACGACAACGATTGCGACCCACCTGGCAAAGGCAAACAAGCCATTTGATGTTTTCATTTCGCTGCTACTCAACTGCAAGACCCCCGCCGACTGCCAGCCAGAAGTCCTTTGTTTTATGCCCCCAAAAGGGCGAACCGAGGGGTTAATCAAGTCCTGGGTGGAATACCCTTCTTAATGGTGGTTACACCCACGAAAAAAATAAAAAGATATCAACAAAGACAGTTAGCTTATGGTGGTTAAACTTCAGCCAACGATCGGTATTTTGATAGTCGATTAAAAATTAGTAGATTAAAATATATAATAGTAGTATAAGGTAATATATAATGCTGTAATTAATTTATTTTGTTTACAAAAATTGCAATAATGTTTATTTTGCTTATGATAATCAAAAGGTAAAGAAAAGAGAAACTTAAAAGTTATTTAGTTTTCTGCTTGTATTTTTGGCCCGATAGTTCCCGAATTCAGTGAGGGTATCAAATATTATTACAACTGGTAATATTTCCGGCTGGCCAGAGTTGATGGCCATGTCTTGCCGTGGGCCACCGCATGTTGCCAACTCAGACTCATGTGTATCTTTAGCTTTGGCTTCGGCTTCGGCTACGGCTTTTGGCGTGACAAAGGCGAATAAATTTGGCTGGCGAGTATTTGCATAAAAATGCGGGATGCCTGAGTGCGAGTGACAATGAAATTTAAATATTTATGCTATACGCTTAATATTATTAGAGTTGGCCCGAAAACTTTTCTCCTGATCCCTCCCCTAGTTCGACGTTCTTTTAAATGGACAAGAGTTGGTGCTGTGAGTTTCGAGGGGGAACTTATATTAAAACATATTTTCGGAGATTTTTGTTGTGCGTGACGGCAGCAATTGTTCTGCTCGAAATTTGGCAAGTATGAAATGAGCATAAAAATAGCAAAAGATTGAGTCATTATTTGTCTGAGCCAGTTTAAAACTGGGTGTGCAACGGGAAATGAGAAAGTCAGAGGCGAGTTTGCGGTGCCTGAAAATGAAAGCACACAAAATGGCACGCAACTAGGACAACTAAGTGAATAGAAGTCAAAGAATCAAAGTAATGAATCACTCCAGCTATATAGTATAGCTGCTCGTAACCTCCATTTGCGACCCCCCTCCCACTTCTTGCGCTTCCTGCTCTTCCTGCGTCCTTCGTCCTGTGTCCCTCGTCCAAGTTGGCCCCACTTGGCCCCTGCAAACAAATTCAACTTGAAGTGAACTCGACTTCGAGTTGACTTTTGACCGATCAAACGGCGGAGCGAAAAGTGGAAAGTGAGCAAAGTGCATGCAAGCGAAAGTTGAGCGTAAGACGGCAACTGACCCTTGCTGGGTGACCCCACCCCCAAGCCGGGCAATCGGACCCCAACACTAACACCACCAACACCACCAACACCAATACCATTTCCACCCACACCACCCTCCGTTTTGTTGGCTTAGGAAAAGTTTTGAAAAGTATTTTACACGGTCGCCGTTGCAGGGCGAAACTGATAGTTGCCTCTTAATAAATGGTATGCGCTTTCCACGTTGCCAGCTGAAAAGTGGGCGGTGCGGGTCGCCGGGGGGCGTGGCACCCGGAGAAAATGCAAACGAAATGGAATCTGTGCGAGCTGATGAGGTGAGAGAGATAGAGGGAAAGGTGCAGGAAAACTGCCACGGGAAACTTGGCAAAAGTGGATCCATGAAAGATGTTTTCACTTCGATGAATGAGCAGACGGCAGGAAGATGAATTGAGTCAGCTACACATAGCGAAATCCCATTATAGTTCGCCTAGAATCTTGACCTTGTTCTCTTTTTCCTGCAGAAAAAAAGATGACACACATACGAATCAAGAACCCATAAATAAATTGATTTAGCTACACAAAGCAAAATATTATTTTAATTAAATTATTTAAGAAAATGTATTTTCAGTAGAAAAAAAATATGACTCAAACACGGTTCAAGAACCCAAAGAAACCGCTCTCTGTTTTGGTGGCCCTTAACAATTTATAAACGCACTGATAAGAATGAATGCTCTCGTTTCTCCTCTGATTTTGGAAAACTAAGTTAATCTCTTATCAGCTGGGTTCGGCCTGCCAAATACTCCGATCTCCCCAGTCGGTATAAAAGTCGGTGTACCAGTCTCAGCTCTCAGTTTAGTTTACCCTTAGCAATGATGTGGACCGTTTGGCTCTTGCTCATTCCGATTGTGAGCGCTACCTTATCTACCAGAAGAACATTGAATCTCAATGCGCGGCTGTTGAATTACACACTCAGCAATTTGGACGAACTAGAGACTCCTTGCTACAGTTTTCTGGCATACGCGTGTGGCAAGTATGCGGCGCGTCATGTCAATGACTCCTTTGACGGAGTCTTCCAGGAGATGCGCCACAAGGGGAACCACATTCTTCTCGAGCAGCTGGAGAATAAATGGAACACATCGGATCTTCAAGGCTTCCAGCAAGAGAGTGGGGGTGGAAAGGTCACGAGGTTCTACCGCAGCTGCCTGAATGCTCCGGCGGAAACACGAACGATAGGGCACTTCTTGAGGTTGGCTCCTCCGGCTGAGGGACTCACTTGGCCCCTCCTGAGCAGCCCTGGTGATTCCTGGTCCGCCGACGGTTTCAACTGGATGGATACCCTAGCATATCTACACCGATATAGCTTCACCGATGCTTTGTTCAGCTTGGATGTCTCGCAGAACCTACTAAACAGCTCTGAGTTTCTATTGAACATAAGACGTCCCAGAGTTTACAAGGTGTTTGATTATGAGGAGGCTCAGAGAGTTTTGCGGGAGCTGCAAATGCCATTCGAACGGATGAAGACTCTTTTAAGGCAGCTAACGAAGTTCGACTGGGATGTTGTGAATCTGCCCAGAAATCGATCAGGACTTGGGCAAATTATGACTGTAGGACAGCTGAAGGACATAACCGGTTACGACTGGCTAAGATTTATCGGAATAATATATAACCAAGACATTTCACTCGATCAACGCGTGAAGGTTAATGATGTGCAGTATTTCAAGGACCTTCATCGTATAATCAACTCCACTTCCCATGACCTCCTGGCCAACTATATAATGATTCGATTCGCACTTTATCTGCAGGAGGTCACCGATGGCGCACTGGATTCCATCGGTTGCGTTCTGGATGTGCGCCGCAATTTCTATGTGGCCTCGAGTTGGCTCATCGAGAGGGAAGAAGTATCATATGACGATTTTTTGAAGGTCAAGGCGCTTTTCAATAATGTCCGCCAGCAGTTACTGCTGAGGATCGAGAGCAACCGCCTCGGCCTTACCGCTGAGCAACAGGAGATGGTTTCCCGGAAGATCCAGGCAACTTCCCTCAACATCAACGACTTCAACTGCGACGGAAGCATTTCGGAGTGCTTGGATGAGTACTATAGAGAGCTGGAGATTCCTGTGGGCGACCAGGATTTTGCGCGGGAGCACCTCAACCTGCTGCAGTTCCGCACCGCGAAGAAATTGGCCAAGCTGCACGACCCCCAAAAGGTTATATTTGTTCCCGAGATAAACTCTGTTCAGAGCTCAAAACCTTACTATGTCAGCGGTCGGAACATGGTCGTCGTGCCAATTGACCTTCTGCTGGATCCGTTCTTTCTGCTGGACAGCCACGATGTGTTCAATTATGGCTCCATGGGATTCGCTCTTGCCCGAGAACTGATGCGCGCCGTTGATGGTGAAAATATCCTATACGATGCCGACGGAAACCTCTATCAAATTGGCTATGATATCTGGAATTTGCCTCAATTCTTTGAAGCGCTGTCTTGCAATAATGATAACAACAACTATAACAATCGAATCGCGGATATTGGTGGCTTGAAGCTGGCCTACTCTGCTTACTTGGAGAGCGTAAAAGGTCTACCCAATAACTTCGGTATCGATCATATCATTAACGTGGACAACGATCGCCTTGGGAACTACGAAGCACCAAGATCGGAAACGAACCTTTCACTCCAGCAGGTGTTCTTCCTCAACCTGGCGCAGTCTTTCTGCAGAGCTGGCGTTTCAAGTATTACCAATTACGAAGATGACACATCTCGATTAGGAAAAATGGTGGTAGGCTTTGAACCATTCCACAGGGCTTTTGAATGTGAGTGGAGAGCAAGGCAGTGCGAGATGTGGTGAAAACAGCAGTGAGTGTGTTTAATCAGCTTTAAAAGTAAATAAGTTTAACGTTTTGGTTTCAGCCCGAAGAACCTAAGAGAGCCATAGGAAAATGAAAAAGAAGGAGTCAGTTCTGAAGCCACAATTGGACGTTAATAATCGTTGATTTCCCTGGAACCACATCTACTGCTGAGTTGTTAATATAGACCATAATTACAGCTGATGCTATCATGTTGTGCCATTCAGTGTTCTTGCCCTCCGGAAATTTCTATGCGTAAACCGCAGAAACGAACAATATTCAATTAAATTAACAAACAATTATCATCAATTTTCATTAAATTAAATAACAGCCCCCACAAAAACAGCAACTGACAAAAATAGAAAAAAGTTAACCTGACCGGGAATGACAAACTTTTTTTACGCATTGCGTCGCAATTAGTTGTTAATAAACGGCTTTGGGGAATTGCAGTCACCTTCGCTTCTATGCCCCATAATTAACAGCGCAATAATAGCTTTAAAATGTTTTAAATAACTGCAAATAATTAAAAATCAAAATAAATAGACTGAATTGGTTGTTGGAAGAAGGCGGAAATAATTTCGTACTTTCTGCAACAGCTGAAATATAATATGCAAAATATGTAAAAGAAGGGCAAAGCGGGAAAACTATGAGAAAAAGTTTTGGAAGGGCAATGCAGGCTATTCACACTTAAATACAGGCACAAACACATTTTTATACCGACAAACCGCAGAAAGTCACTCACACATACATACAGACCCTACATAAAAATGCTTTTAAAATGTCAAAGCGCGCAAAAGAAAGAGCAAGGGGTTGGCAACAGGGGGAGGGAGGAGGGGGCGGAGAGGTTAGTCAAAGGATTGATGGCAGCGCTTAAATAAGCCAAGCTGGCAGGGGCAAAAGTTCACGTTGCGTATACGCCGTGTGCCAAAGTCAAAAAACGTAGCGCGCTTCAGAGCGTCGCCTAATCAAAAATGCTTTGCGTGCCGTTTCCTACACAAACACACTTGCGCACCCACACAAACACACGCCCACACCCACACCAACATACACACCCACTGGTTCACACACAGAAGCTAAGCCCGTATCAAGTATACGCCGCTTTGTCCCCCATTTACTGATTCAGCCGCGCTTTGACAGAGTTTTTATTTGCGTTTTATTAATGCTAAACGATTTTCATGCTGCCGGTGTGAACCACTGGAACTGGCTGCCCAAAGATTGCTGATTGACAAAAGATTCGCTTTACCCAAACTCACAAAGTGAATATTGAGTATCCTTTTGATATAAACATTTAAATTGTAGAATGTAAAACACTATTGTGGCAATCATAAAGAGTTAAACATATTAGGATATTATTATTAGGATAGCAAATTTGATTTATTGGTTAGCCTACTTAGAATGTCTTCTTTTTTTAAACCCTGAATTTATTCTAAATGAAATTTAACGCAGTATGAACCCAATAATGAAGTAAACTGTTGGCGAAAAAGATAGAAGGAAAGAGGGTGTTTAACACTTTCCTCCACAAAGTGGCACGCCCTTTTGACGGCTGCTGTCACAGAATTGCGCAGGAGTAAAAGTTGCGAAAAAAGGGGAAAAGAATGAAATAATTCATGCAATGCTGACGGCCCTGAAGAGGTCTCTCCAGCCCACTCATCTCCTCGAACGGACGTCCTTCTCATCATCGTCCTCATCGTGAATAATTTGGGTCACTTGGCGGCAGTTAGTCAGCTGCATTGTTGCCGTTTGCTGCTGTGGTCGCGTTTTTCATTGTCGGCATGCGGCAGCCGCATTTTTCAATCCCTTGCCCGGCTTTCCCAGCTTTTCCGCTTTCCCTCTCGCGCCGTCTCGCTTTGGGCATCTTAAACGCCTTTAAACTGAAAGACGACATAATTAATTAAGCTCGGCGGCTTGACTGATGTCCTGGATGGCCTCCTGCTGTTGGCCAGACTTTCCAGGCTTCTGTTGCCCCAACAACACCGAAAAAAATTATACCAAATACTAAATAATCGAAGTTAATGTATGATTTGAATATACAAATATTATTTCTAATAGAATAACTGTAAAAAAATATATTTTTAATTAAAGTAACTTGCCATTGCTTATTTGAAAATCCTAGACTTCAAAATGAACAGATTAAAATTGTTAAGAAATTCCAGAAAAGATTAATAAGAAGTAATTGGAATATTTTTAATGAAATTGTTTTTATTACAGTAAGCCCCGCCTAATGGAATATTCTTCCAGTGCCCTCTGCATTATAATGCGTGCCGCGAAAGGGCCACAAATTTAGTTGTGGCCCAAAGTGCTCCGACTGACCCCAAACTGGGCGACTGCGGCCGCTTGTGGCTCATTTGCAGTCTCCGGAAACGGAAATTTATGCGACCCAACAGGCCAAACTAGGAGCAGCTCATAAAGCCTCAACTTTCAGTCTATGAATTTTCTCTCCGCTTCGCAGGCGTGTCTGTATGTGTGTTTCTATGTGTGTGTAAGTGTGTGTGTGTTTTCGCGTAATAATTTAATAAAACGCTCTAACAGCAAACGCTTGATGTAAATGTAAAAAGTTTTCAAATGTTTGGCTGCAGCTCTCGGAGCGGAAGTGCTTCCAGCCAGTGCAGTGATTGCTCGCCTCTGTGTTGTTATGTGTTAATTTTTAAAAACTGCCCGAAAGCAGGCGAAAAACAAGGAGCACAGCTCAAAACTCCGCAGTCGGCAAATGGAAATAGCACAAAACCCATTGCTGTGATTACTTTGCAGCTGGCGAGAGAGTGCTACCAGCCACACAGAAAGCTGTGATTTTCATACATATACAGCATATTTTTTTGCACCCGTTGTCGGCGAGTGGCCAGCGGTCAAACAGGAATAACTTTACCCGAAACTGTTGCACTTTTAATGCGTTTCGTTTCGGCTGTTTAGGTTCTGGGCCGGGCTTTTGGGGGCTCAATGAACCCGGGCCACTTTTTGGCCGTTCTCTGGTTGTTTCAGAACATTTAAAAGCATTTTAACCTGCTGCTTCTGAAGTTAATCATCATTAAGTGAACTTTAAAAACGTCTTATCTTACAGAAAAGGTTCACTTGATTGTAGCAATAGTTAACTGCTAATAATAATTTCTTATTGTGAAGGTAAATGGGAAGTAATTATTAATATTGTGTATATAACTTCAACTTATCTTTTATTTATCAGGATAAAATACTTAATGGGTTCCCTTGTTAAGTTCCCAAAACAAATAGTTAATTTTCCAGGAATTTTTTACCCATGATCAAACTTTTATTCTTCTTCTCTTTTGTTCCTTTTACTTCCTCGAAGTTTCAGAAAATTTAAACGCTCTTTAAACCTCTGTTTCGGAGGCAATTCATCTTGAAGAGTGCTTCATGATGTTTATTTATGCCATTGCATTATTCTTATTATTGTTGATGTGGCTTTTGCAGCAGTTGTAGTGGTAGTTGTTGCTGTCGATGTCAGCAGCAATATTGTCCCAGTTAATGTCCTGGCTGGCCTGGTCAATGCGATTACGCTGCTGTTTGCATTGATTGCAGGACACAGAGGACACAGTCCAGTGACAGAGCTTGTCACTGCAAGTTGCTCGCCTTTTTCGACCCTTTTCATTCATTTGCCGGGCATAATAGGCGCTGAAGGATGGTGGAGGAGGAGGAGGAGGGGGAGGGAGTTGCATTTGACAGGGCAGAGTGTAAATTAATTGCATAAATTAAGTGAAAATGCACGTCCGGGGCAAAAACTTCGAGTGTTCGGCCCACGTGGCGAATGCGTAATGTAATCTCCAGGTGATAATTGATTCTGGCAGGCGAAGAGGGTGGCCCATTTCGATTTTTGCCCGAGCTGCCAACCTGTTTGTCTGCAAATAATTATCTAAATAATTGAAAAGGGATAGCGAAAAAGGGACTGTCAACTCCCGGCTTTTAGTTTCCTACTTTTCCTTCTTTTCCAGGGAGTTCAGGCGTCAAGGATGCCGCTGTTTCACTTTTAATTATGTAGAACAACAGGTCTGGCAGCTGGACACTCCTTAGTTGTGTTTGGTGCTTCACGCCAAGTTATTTGATTTTCTTTTCGCTTTTCCGCGCTTTTCTGCGCTCGTTTCTTCGCTTTTAACTTGTGATCTGTGAGCTGGAGAAAACTTTGGCCAAGAAGTTTAAAGTGAATGCGCGCTACCTTTGGCCTCAGCCCTTTTAATGGCTGCTTTAGGTTGTGTAAGCCAATTAGTTCTTAATTTGCAATTTGTTTTGCTGCAGTCGCCGCCGCCCTTTTTGCTTTTCCCGAAAAATGAAAAAGGGCCGAGCAAAATGGAGGAGCCGGGAAAACAAAGCGGCCAAAGGAGTTAAAGGCAAAGCCAACCAGCAGACGAGCATATTTAAAAACTTTTGTTTTCAACTTTCCTGCTCTTCTCTCCTTTTTTTTCTTCTCTCATTTTTTATTTTCCATTTTTATTGTTCAAGTCGCTTCCCCCTTACTTTTTTTTTTTGCTTTTAATGTGAAACTTTTAACTGAATTAATTCCTTTTACTGCGCAGCTCGCGCTCCTGCTCCTGCTACTTATCTATGGCTGGAAATGCGCAGCCAGGCGTTTAGTTTAATCTTTTAATTTTTCCTTTTCTTCCGGGTAGGATGCCGGGGCTTCCACTTCGATGTTGATTAAACACAGCAACTTTTTGGCCATATGCTAAATTGAATTCTCCGGGGAAACTGTACAGCCGCCAACCCTTTGGCCTCCTGTTGCACATTTCTCGAGTCGGTCATAAATCAAGCGTGTGAGCCGTAAAAAGTGAGAGTCGCGAAAGGGGGAAATTAATATTTTAGTTGGGCGCACACACACACACACACACACTCGCACAAAACACCTGTCATAAAGGTAAATGTCATAAAAGGATGTGTGGGTCGCAGGATGGCAGTCGAAATGCTGATCCCGTTCCTGATGATTTGGGTGGAGACTGCGTGACTGGCGTCGCCCCGTCTGAACCTCCATCCTTCGGGGCGCCCAAGTTTATCACCTTCGCAGGCGGGATGTCAGAGTAAGTGAAATATTTCCAAACAAATAAAATGAAATGTGCCGCAAAAACGCGCGCCGCGCAGACAAACAATACCAAAGTGAAATAAAGCGTACAAACCAAGAAAAGAGTGGAGAAAAAGGAGCCAACGAAATGGCAACATGACATAAACATGACATTTGACTTTCTCCTAGTCCCGCCGACTCCTGTCAGCTTTGGGTGGATTTTTTTTCTAGGGGTTTTGGGGTGCTGGCACGTGACTGGCCGCGTTTAGCTGCTGAGCAAATCATATGCACCTTTGTTAAGAAATTATAAACCCCAAGCTGGCACGCGAATCAAAAATGCACGAAAGGCGAACGAAAATTACACAGAAATACAAATTGCTAAATTTTTCAATGTGAAAAGAAGTTGCTAATATATAAGAAAATTTTA